AGAATAAACTTTGATGACTCAGTGGATGGAAGGGAAAGTTCTCTCATTGGACACCCACTTTCTTTCTTTCTTTTCTTTCTTTCTTTCCTTCCTTCCTTCCTTCCTTCCTTTCTTTCTTTCTTTCTTTCCTTTCTTTCCCTTCCTTCCTTCCTCCCTTCCTCCCTTCCTCCCTCCCTCCCTCTCTCCCTTCCTTCACAGCTGTGTTGGGTCTTTGTTTCTATGCGAGGGCTTTCTCTAGTTGTGGCAAGCAGGGGCCACTCTTCATCGCAGTGCGCAGGCCTCTCACTATTGTGGCCTCTCTTGTTGCGGAGCACAGGCTCCAGACGCACAGGCTCAGTAATAGTGGCTCACGGGCCCAGTTGCTCCGTGGCATGTGGGATCTTCCCAAACCAGGGCTTGAACCCATGTGCCCTGCATTGGCAGGCAGATTCTCAACCACTGTGCCACCAGGGAAGCCCTGGACACCCACTGTTGCCCACTCTCTGGTCATGATTTGCATGTTTGGCCAGCCTATCACATTCTGCTATGTGGTTCAAAGAATTAAACACTGGCAAGGTATGCTTTAAAAAAAAAAAGACATATAAGTGCAGATTACCAACATACCATCTGTTTATAACCTTCTTTGTGAAAAAGAAATTAAATCTTGGTCCATTTTCTAGAACCACCCTGCTACCCTGATACTATATGCTTTTCTAAAAGAAAGTAGAAAAGCCTTAAGTACTTGTTCAACCAATGATCAAAGTCAAGAATGTTGTGCAAATGAAGCTTGTTCCAAAAGAATTGTGTCAACCGAACCAGGGGAAGGGGGAACAAATTTATTAACATTCCCACATTGGACAGAGCCCTGTGGGTGAATTTTTAATGAGTAACCTTGTCCTTGCCCTCTAACAGAAAGATAACCTTCATTCAAATAATACAAGGCTAGTGAATAGAATAAAAAGTTGATTTCAACCAATTTTATTCTAGAGAACAGAACTCATACTAATAAGTAGAATTTATACAGAAACAGGTTTCAAATCAATGCAGAAGAAAAAGATAATTCAGGATTAGAATTTCCAATAACTGAACAGCTAGTGTTATGGTATGTCCCAATCCTGGATGTTTTCAAGCAAAATCTAGACGATCACACCAAAACCAGTAGAGCTATACATGCTACCTGTATTCCAGGCACTGTACTACATGCTTTATCTAGATCTTCTAACCTTAAAGGATGATTTATTATTATCCCTAAATTATATAAAAGAAAATGAAGACTCAGACTATCCACAGACATAAATGGCTATCACCTGCTGGTCCAAGCCACTCTCATTTCTGGCCTGGGTTATCATATTTACCTTCTAACTAGTCTCCATGCTTTCACCCCTGCCCCTGTAGTCCATCCTCTACACAGCTGGCAGGGTGACTGTGATGGTTAATTTTATGCGTTAACTTGACTAGGCCATGGGATACCTGGGTATTTGGTTAAACATTATTTCTAGGTGTGTCTGTGAGGGTGTTTCCAGATGAGATTAGCATCCAAGTTGGAAGACTGAGTACAGCAGATCCACCTGCCCCCCAACCCACCATGTAGATGGGCCTCATCTAATCAGTTGAGGGCCTGAATAGAACAAAAAGGTGGAGGAAGGGAGAATTCACTCTCTCTGGTCGACTGTATGAGCTGGAACATTGGCCTTCTCCTGCCCTCAAACTGGAACTTACATCACTGGCTCTCCTCATTCTCAGGCCTTCAGACTCAGAGTGGAACCACACCACTGGTTCTGATGAGTCTCTAGCTTACAGACAGTGGGTCATGAGACTTCACCTCCATAACTGCATGAGCCACTTCCTTATAATAAATCTAAGAGAAAACAGAATCCTAATAATAGAACCAATAAAAGATGTATGTGTGTATATGTATGTACGTATATACTCTTACATATATACACGTGCATACATATGCATATATATACATATGTGTAAGAGCATGTGGATACACACATACATACGTATCTTTCATTGGTTCTGTTTCTCTGGAGAACACTTATTAATACACTGATCCATTTAAAACAACATTAGATCCAAAATAACGCACAAAAAATAAAATAAAAAGGGGGGGAAAAATTACATCATGTTACACTGTGGGTTAAAACCCTCCAAAGGTTTCTGTTCTCACATCAACCTAATGTCGAAATTCTTATCATAGCCTGCAAGGTCCTACCCACAAACACCACTATCTCTCTGACCTCATGTCTGATCTCCCTACACACACACACACACACACACGCACACGCATACACGTGCATGCACACGCACACTGGCCTCCTTGCTGTATCTGAACATATCAAGCACACTTCCAGCTTAGGACCTCTGCTTCCCTCCACCTAAAACTCTCTTCTCCCAGGCATCTATACAGTTTGTTCCCCATGTTCTTCAGATCTCTGCTTAAATACAGAATAATGTATTTTCTGCTTAAATAAGAAATAAATTAATAATACAGAATAATGTATTTTCTGTTTAAATAAATAAATGCTTAAATAAGTCAACCCTCTGTATCCGTGTGGTGGGCAGGTTGGTTGGTTCCAGCACCCCCGCCAGGTAACAAAATCCACTGATGCTCGAGTCCCTTAGACAATATGGCCTAGTACAGTCGGCCTTCCACATTCCTCAGTTCTGCATCCGCAGATGCAGAGGGCTAACTATAACACCTTGTCAGTGAGACTTCCCTGACCATCTAACGTAAAATAGAAACCCCCTCTCCTTTAGCTTTCCCTATCCCCTTCCGCCTGCTTTGTTTTTCTTCAGAGCACATATCATCATCTGACGTCTGCATTTACTTATTAGTGTCTGTGTCTTGCACTAACCTGTGACCTATTTGAAAACCAGACCTTGATCTGATTATTTACGACTGTATCTTCACCATCAGAGCTGTGCATGGCACAATAAATCTTTGTTGAATAAATGAAGCCCAGACAACCAGATTTGAAATCTATTCTCTTAAATGTCAAGCCATTCTGGCATCCAGGAAAGGAACTTCTTTCACTAGGAAGGCAGGGGCATTAGATCTAAGGTCCCTTCCAATTCTAGGACTATGATGCCATGACACCATCATTAGGGCCTTAAGAGCAGGGTTCTCTCTGCTGCTCTTTCCTTTGGCCACATTTTACCACTTTCCTTGAATAAGTAAGTGGTAAGCATTAGGCAATGGATGAGATCATAGGTCCAGGAAGCCAGCTCCCCCTTAAGTCATCTCTAGTCCATTTCTCATGCTACTACAGTTTGCCTTTATTTCTCAGATGCTATCTGACCTGTAGCCACTCAGTTGTCAGTGGAAAAAGAGAGTATCAAAATTTGTGTTTTTACACCAGTGGCTTGACTGTCAAATAGACATGTCATCATAGTTTTATCACTAAAACTCCAGTCAAGAATAAGCAGCGAGAACATTGAGGTCATTTACAAACAAAGACAAAGATAAATTTACCAACTCACCATCGATCGTCCAAGATAAAGTTAAGGGAAAGCATAAAACCAACCTTGCAAGCCAGGCTATATTTTAGTACCAGAAACCAACAGAGCAAGAGAGGGCTCTGAACTGGCAGAATTTACTTCTGTCTATCTAGGACTACTAGAAGACATGGGAATCCAGGGAGCTGGAGATTTTAAAACTTCAGGAAAGGCTGGCAGGTCACATGACCAGAAGAGGGGACGGAAAACTGTTCCGTAACATTGCTGGAGTAAGATGCCTCATTATTTCCTGCAGTCCACAGAGTTCTCAGTAAAAGACACTAAAAATGACACTAGATTAAACATATCAAGCCAGTAAGTAATTATATTACTATATTCTTATTGGGGGTCAGCAGCTCTTAAACGTTAGCTTGAGACCCTTTCATCTGAACCTTTTACATCCACCAGAAAGGTACTCATCTGTTGACTTTCCAAGTTGTGTTGGTTTTTGGTTTTTCCTATAAGTCCTACTGCTAGGTCTTCAGTTGAAACATGCAGCCATTAGCCACTCTTTGGACAGATCCAACAGAGAAATTTCTCTTTCTCAACCCTCACTGCTAATCTGTGGGTGTCTCAGAATAGTAGTGAGTTGAAATCACCTATATAACCACCTTTTTTTTTTAACATCTTTATTGGAGTATAATTGCTTTACAAGGTTGTGTTAGTTTCTGCTGTATTACAAAGTGAATCAGCGATATGTATACATATATCCTCATATCCCCTCCCTCTTGTGTCTCCATCCCACCCTCCCTATCCCACCCCTCTAGGTGGTCACAAAGCACCAAGCTGATCTCCCTGTGCTATGTGGCTGCTTCCCACTAGCATTTGGTAGTGTATATATGTCCATGTCACTCTCTCACTTTGTCCCAGCTTACTGTTCCCCCTCCCCGTGTCCTCAACTCCATTCTCTACATCTGTGTATTTATTCCTGTCCTGCCCCTAGGCTCTTCAGAACCATTTTTTTGTTTGTTTTTAGATTCCATATATATGTATTAGCACATGGTATTTGTTTTTCTCTTTCTGACTTACTTCACTCTGTATGACAGCCTCTAGGTCCATCCATCTCACTACAAATAGTTCAATTTCGTTTCTTTTTATGGCTGAGTAATATTCCATTGTATATATGTGCCACATCTTCTTTATCCATTCATCTGTTGATGGACACTTAGGTGGCTTCCATGTCCTGGCTATTGTAAATAGAGCTGCAGTGGACATTGTGGTACATGACTCTTTTTGAATTATGGTTTTCTCAGGGTATATGCCCAGTAGTGGGATTGCTGGGTCGTATGGTAGTTCTAGTTTTAGTTTTTTAAGGAACCTCCATACTGTTCTCCATAGTGGCTGTATCAATTTACATTCCGACCAACAGTGCAAGAGGGTTCCCTTTTCTCCACACCCTCTCCAGCATTTATTGTTTGGAGATGTTTTGATGGTGGCCATTCTGACTGGTGTGAGGTGATACCTCATTGTAGTTTTGATTTGCATTTCTCTAATGATTAGTGATGTTGAGCATCCTTTCATGTGTTTGTTGGCAGTCTGTATGTGTTCTTTGGAGAAATGTCTATTTAGGTCTTCTGCCCATTTTTGGATTGTGTAACCACCTTTTTATAAAAGGTTAATGAGGAAGCAAGTCAAGCCTTTACACGATTTCCTTCCTTTAAAACATTTTCGAAAAACAGAACAGCTCAGCCTACTGACAGAACTTAGGAAAGAGAGGAATAATAATGTTAACTTACTAGGGGTCTGGGACTGTGCTAGTTGCTGTACGGGGATTCTCATTCGATGCTTCCTACAACACTCTAAGATAGATACTACTATCCACTACTCCCCCTTCATCCTACAGGTGAGAAACTAAGCTTCACAGAAGCCAAAGAACTTGCCTAAAGTTAAACACCAGTAAACAGCAAAGCCTGAACACGAGCCTGGGTCTTCCTAGCTCTGCATCTGCACTTTTAACCACTATGAGTACGACACTGGAAGGGAAGAATGGAGGTGGGAATAGAAAAATGACATTCCTTCCTCCTTATGTAGGTATCGGTTAGAATCCAGGAAAGAACCACTGCAGGTTCTTTGCTTCATTTGAAAGTTACCAGTCCGTGTGGGTGCGCATGTATGTTTGGATGTACTCAGAAACATACACAACGTATGCACGCACACACACTGCAAATCTTCCCACACTGTAAATGTCTCCCAGGCTCTATGTGGGCCTTGCTTAAAGGTCACCCAACAGGCCCCAAGGAAAAGAAGGGCTTGGTTTAAAAAGCTTTATATTTCCTCTCACTTTTTCAAACACTGGAAAATCCATTTGGCTCAGAGAAATGAATAGTAAAAGGAGTTCTAACTACTTAGAGCCAACAAAACATAACGGAAAAAAGGCAAGAATATGGCTGGACTTTATTTTCTTTTTGCTCAGCACATCCTGTCTTTAATCTGAATGGTAAATAGGCCATGCCAACATACTAACTCTTTTTAGGTGAAATTATCTAGGTTATGAAAACAAGCAACAACTGTGTTTTCATTATTCTTTAATTCGTGGCTGACAGAAATAGCTTCCAAAATAAATCAGAGAGGCAAATATTGCTCACAAGGGAGAAACCCACAAATTTTCCCTCCTTTGATAATGGATTTTTGTGAATTTTTTTTTCTTTCCCTTGAATTATAATTGTGTGGTATTATCTGAAAGAGTGTGTTGCAAAAGCTAGAAAAGGGGAATTTGAATTTTCATATTTGCATTATTTAAATCCATGGGGGAGGGTGGGGAGAGAGAGAGAGACTTTTTCCATATTATTCATTATTAATTAACATCCCTGAGATATTTAACTTTCAAGTACAACAAGGAATTTTACAACACCTCCCTCTGTAACCCCACAATATCTTTGGCTCCGTGACGCACCTAATGATTCATGACTTAAGTCAGGCTAGTGAGAGCTCCACCCATCTTTGTCCATATATTTAGCTTCCCTTGCTTCATACTATACTTTCTTCTCTATGTTAAATCTGAGCAAACAGTCTAACAGAAACCATCTTCTCAAACAGAACATGGTAAAGCTTCTTTTAACAAGAAACTAGACACATCGATGGATTATTTGAAGCAACATCTGTCCCCTTCCTTTCTCTGGATGTCATTTAAATCAAGAATTACATCCATGGGGTAAGTCAAAGCGGCATCCTTCCATGCACTGGTTGTGGGGAAATTAATAGGTATTCCACTCAAAAAAAAGGTGGCATTGGTCAAACGGAAATGCTTCATCAGGAGAAGGTCAACAGGGTCCCTTTGTTTTCTTTCTAACCACAAGATTTCACAGAGTCTCTAAAATGCAATTATGCTTTACATGCCTCCAAGAGAGGACTAGAAAACATACACGTTTCCAAGCTAATTGGACTTGGAAACAGAGCTGGAGGGTCATGGAACACCCTTGGGTTAGGGAACACCCGCTTAAGCGCCAGGTCTGAGCTGGCCAACAGCCAATGGTCCAGTCAGACATTGTCCATCCTGTACTCTCCAAGCACACTGATCACACTGTTTCTTAGGGAAAACAGGACAAGGACAGAATGTATAAAGAGCTTTATTGAACTGATGAAAATATATAAGTATAGCACCATCTCTAGCAAGAGAACCATTACATTTGGACATTCTCTTCATGGGAGGGGGAAGAGCGAACCATCTTAGCAAAACCATTTTAAATATGTGGCATGCACAAGAAGGCTTTCCCAGTCAATAATTGGAAGATGTCATCCAATCGTACTTAAAATTGGGAATTAGTAGTATATAGCCTATTAAAAAATGTCACAGGTTTCTTTTCAGCCTTGAAAACACAAAACACATTTAATATCTTTAATTCGAATGCAAATCAAAATCTAGGGGGATCAGACACATTTTTAACTGGTATTTTTAACTGGTTTTTAACATCAGTAACCCTCAGATACATTTTTAAACTGGTTTTTAAAAAGAAGACATAAGAGCTCTAACAGAAACGTTAGAATAGTATTTCAGGTGAGTCTGGTATCAACTGCAAATTTATAGACACTAATGTAATCAAACACATACAGCTCACTATTTTGGCAGATCATAGAAAACGGGGTATTGGGAAGCCAGGGAAGATTAATGTTTACAGCGATGAAAAGTTCCCAAGTTGGAGGGATACCAACAATACCAAACCATTTGTCTTTCTGCTTTTGAGTACTCCCCAACAATGAGGAAGTATGAATCTAAATGACAGAATAATCTAATTGTATGAACTCCTACCCCCAAACTGCTGAAGGAGAAATAAGAAGCAGTTGTGCTGTCTTTAACTGGGAACTAAGATCTATGGAAACAATAATATGGCAATGGCAGTAATCTGTGAGTATGAAACACAGCCTCTGCTTGTCTGCGTATTCCTTATCCAACGCTGACGCACACATTTGAATTCTGCTCTTCGAGATCTCGTTGCAAAAAGTGAATTCCATATCCTGCTTTGAAACATCATTAACCCTCAGACAAAAATTTCCACTCTGGCTTTAACCGAATGTTGCTTCTGACTCATTTGTTTCAAGGATTAGCAAAGGTCCTGAAGCGATGTGAGAAAGTCAAAGAAAACAGTTTTGAAGCACAGCACTCAGAAACAAAGTAAGACCAAAGGAAACTGAAGCTGCCCCGTGATGACAAGGCCGTTTCCTTACTTCCTGCGAAGCAACACACGCTGACAAGATGAGGAAGAACCAGCATAAACATCACTTACTGAAGCCTCCTTCTGTCCACCCAACTATCAGTGTAACATCCTGGTCCCTACACTCCTAACCTCCTGCTCTGCTTTTTTTCTAAGCCCCTATTACCCACTAGTATGTAACTTACCTATCCAGTATGCTAATTATTTATTATGTAACTCCTTTGATAGCATGTAAGTTCCTAAGAGCAAGGATCTATGCTGGGTTTTGTTTCTTTAACTGATAAATCGCGGTGCCTAGAACAGTTCCCGGAACACACAAATGCTGCTCACTAGATATCTGTTGAATAAAGGGATAAATGATACTATTTCTTTGCCATCTTTGGATCCTACAGTTGAAAACATAAGGAAAGGATTTTAGTCACTTTCCTTTTTACCTAAAAATTATTCCAAGCCTTCTCTCTATGCTAATCCTCAATCCAAAAGAATTTAAGAAAATTGATATAAACTAGCTAGAAAATGTGTCATGTTAGTTAAATTAACTTAGAAAAAAGAGATGGAGCAAAATTTATTTCACCTTAACTGTTTTTTTTTAAAAAGTATGCTTAGTAAAATGTCTTTTTATAAATTATTCCAGTATTTCCTAAATGATTTCTTTCTCCTTATTCCCGTTGGTTTAAGCACTGATCACTGTATCTAAACTGGTCAATGTCCTTCACAAGTCAGGGGTATTAAATTCACATTTGGCTGGTGACTATTACACTTATTGTATAATAAATATTAACAGTCTGTCCATACAAGGCCTACCAAAGCAAAGATAGACAGTGACTACTGTAATTTAGGCATAAGGCCCTCCCCTCCACCATGCTGAAATGCCCAGCACTCTTCCTAGCGGACTCTTACTCCATCCTTAGTTTAAAAGTGTAGCTATTTCAAACACACAGGACACACAGGAGAGAGGTAGGTACCATAAACAGAGGAAAGATCATTTATTTCTGGGCCTATGAATACAGGCCCAGAGTAGCTATATCTTACTACTTTTTCATTTTTTCATGAAAAATTTACCAATTTGTTATTTGAAATTTCCCAATTGGGGATGCAAACAAAAATGTGTTGAGGCCCGATGTGGCCCACAGGCATCAGTTTGCAATCTCTTGTTAAGGCCTCAGGTCAGAGAGCACTGCCACCAGGAATCCCCCTCCCACTCCTAAAGTGGGTGAGGCACTCCTGCGGTATGTTACGTCTAGCCATCCCTGATTTCACCAAACTCTCGTATAGTTCCTGCAATGTGTCCATCTTTTCTGTGGGGAGTATCTTACTTATCTTTATATTCCCAGCATCAAGTGTCTAGCACAGAGTAGGAGCTCAAAAAATGCTTTAATAAATGAAAATTTGAACAAGACCACCTGGTTCACACTTCTAGTAGTCCCCGTGAACCCATCAGTCCATTTCCTGTCTTTATTCTTTAACCAACCAGCCTTCAGGGATACATGCAATCAAGGTCACGGGCCTTGATACCAAGTGCCAAACTAAAAGAGACAAGCCCACCCCTGAAGATCTGTAGGGTTATATTTGTTGTGAGGAATAAGCAGCATTCGGCATATTGTGAAAATAGGAAAAAAATTTAAAAAGGAAATTCGACAAAGTAAAACAGTTGTATACCATGTGCTTTGTAGGAGACGAGCAAGTACATGAAAGAAAATTCAGCAAATTGCTACCTGATTTCTCCATCATTCAAAACACTTGATGAGCTTCTTACAGATGATAGTTAACTAAGGCATGTTTAAAATGTCTATTTTGTTCCTTAGCTAGAGCTTTAAGAACAGAAAGATGCTGCTTATTCAACCAATAATTAAACTTCATATACATGTTACACTTCGCCTAAACCCCAGTAAATATCGGGTTTACTATTCAAGATAGTATTTGGAATCATATCCAAATGTGGAATTGCTCTCCCAAGCAGAATCATATTGTAGCAAACTTTGGCTTCTCGGTAAGTCACAGAAGTATATCCTGTATTTTTACAATTCTTCCCTTTGTATTCTCTCATGATGAAAGCATCAGGGTAAACTTACAGCTGTGCAGAAGATGCACCGGCATTCCTGGAGCGTGGTCATCTTGTCCAGAGACTGTTCACACAGGCAGAGTTTGCAAGTGACGAGGGGGGCCAGAGCTAGGTCTCCAGGTGTGGGATTTTCGGCAGCGGTCATGGTGAGACAGTGGAGCCTACCAACTGAGCCCATCAGCCTGTCTTCAGCGTTCTTCAGTCTCCTCTATCCCTACAGAAAGGCCCAAAGCAGAAAATATTATATCCATTGATACAGCTATTGTTTAACCAACACATCTGGGCACCAGCAGGGCAAATCCTCACCCTCAATGATCTAAGTGTACAGTAAATGCACTTCTAAGAACCATGGATTAGAGAGCTTATCACCTTGGCAACCTATTCCTAGAGTCCTGAAATATAAGGTGACCTCACTGTCCTGACTCATATCAAGTCAACTATGGAAATTAAAAGACTGCTATGAACAAACACACCATTTAGGAATCGCATTGCTATGATCAATTCAACAGATTCAAAAAATACTTAAAAAGAGAATGTCACTCAAAAAGTTAAATATAGAATTACCATATGATCCAGAAATTTCACTTCTGGGTGTACACCCAAAAGAATTCAAAGCAGGGACTCAAACAGATACTTGCACACCGATGTGCACAGTAGCGTCATTCACAACAGTCAAAAGGTGGGAACAATCCAAATGTCCATCAACGGATGAATGGATAAACAAAATGTGATATAAACGTACAATGGAATACTATCCAGCCTTAAGAAGGAATGAAATTCTGACACATGCTACAACAGGGATGAACCTTGGAGACATTATGCTAAGTGAAATAAGCCAGACACAAAAGGGCAAATATTGTATGATTCCATTTATATGAGGAACCTAGAACAGTCAAATTCACAAAGACAGAAAGTAGAAAGGTGACTACCAAGAGCTGGAGGAAGGGCAAACGGAGAGTTATCACTTAATGAATACAGAGTTTCTGGCACGATAAAAAAGTTCTAGAAATGGATAGTGCGATGGTTGGACAACATTGTGAATGTACTTAACACCTCTGAATTACAGTTAAAATGGTTGAAATGATAAATTTTGTTATGTATATTTTACTCCAATAAAAAAAATTTCAGGGCTTCCCTGGTGGCTCAGTGATTAAGAATCCACATGCCAATGCAGGGGACGCGGGTTGGAGCCCTGGTCTGGGAAGATCCCACGTGCCACGGAGCAACTAAGCCCGTGCGCCACAACTACTGAGTCTGCGCTCTAGAGCCTGTCAGCCACAACTACTGACCCGTGTGCCACAGCTACTGAGCCCTCACGCCACAGCTAATGAAGACCGCACGTCTAGAGTCTGTGCTGCACAACAAGAGAAGCCACGGCAATGAGAAGCCTGCACACTGCAACGAAGAGTAGCCCCTGCTCGCCGCAACTAGAGAAAGCCTGCACACAGCAACAAAGGCCCAACACAGTCAAAAATAAATTAATTAATTAAAAAAAAATTTCAATAAGGTGTCAGTGTTAATTGTGTTCCTTCACATGCATTATTTCATTTAATGTTTTGCAACCACAATGATTATTTCCTTCATTTTATAGATGAATTGAGGTCCTGAGAAGTTAAGTAATCTGCCAAAGTTCTCAGAGCTTATACACGGCACAGCTAAACTCAAACCTCCATCTTCTGAGGCCAAGTCCAGTGCCTGGTCCATTACCCAAGAACTGCCTCACAAGTGGATACTATGTGGAGGGATGTAGCAGGGAGAGAGAGAGATATAGGAATAGGGAGGGAAAGAGAGAAAGAGAGAGAGGTGAATTCCATGACTACAGCTATCATAAGATCACTGAAGAATAAAATTTGTCTCTACACATAGCATGACTATAGGAAAGGATATTTCTACACCGAAAAATAAAAATTATAACCGAAGCCCTTCCGCTAGATTTTTATTCAGAATATCTTTAAAAGAGGTAAGATAATTGTGAAAATAATTTCCCTACATATACATAGTTTATATCACATCAAGAAATTTCATGTTCTGATTAAATAAAAGCAAAATCCTTAAGTTCTTACTATTTTAACAGAGTATGGCCAATTCTAATAAATTTGGCCATAGAAATAATTGTATCCTCTCCCCCCAGAAGAACCAGACTCTCTTCCTCCCAATTTTTGGGCAAAAGAAATTATTTTACATATTCAGCATCTGTTATACAGCCCCACAGCGACTTAAGTCTCCATATATTAGTACAAAAGTACTAAAATACGGGAGAAAAAACCAGATTAGATTAGAAAGAAAAAAAATCTATGAGATCTAATTGCACTAACTTTCTCAGTGGCACATCAGAAAGAATCAACAGTTTCTAACTCTAGTGCCCTGAAGTGTTTACGGTTTATCACCTACTCCTTAAGTAGCAGTAAAAGACTTGATCAAAAATAAATTAAATAGGAAGCTAACCAATGACTGGCTTCCAATATGATAGATATTTCTTGGGAAAAGACCAATATGGTTCAAGACACAGTATTCTTATTCAATTAACTATTGACGATCTATCATCCAATAGCAAATTAAATTCAAATCAACCTACACATCAAATCCAGGATTTTAAAGATAAAAAAAAAAAAAATCCCTTTAGGGTCAATTAGGGGTAAAAGTGAATGATTTTACTTCTCCCCTGTTCCCAGTTTATACTTAACACAACTATCGCCTGTTTTCTTCTCCAAGACTCCTCCGTTGATAACATACATCATCTTATCGAAAACGTCTTTTCATCTCTATTTTCCCAACACTGCTCATACCACATATTCTGAGTTATTTTCCCCCTCAAAAAAAGAAATCCCAAGTCACACAAGAAGAAGAAATGTAGCCAGTAAAGGCTTCCTGTGTAGGGAAGATGGGAAATGACACAGGCCAGAAACATCCCACACCACAAATGTCAATTACACTAACAGCCCATTTGGAGGAAGCTGTTGAGAATAGATAAATCCTGTTGTCCCAGCCTAGGCAAGAGAGCAAGGTATTCTTCAAGAAAGTCATTTTTTTCTCACAATCTATTTTTCAGAAGGGGACATTTAACAGGCCAATGTACTTGAAAAACAAAGACATAAAGGGATACTTCTTAGAAGGTTATCTCTGGGACTTCCCTGGTGGCACAGTGGTTGAGAGTTTGCTTGCCGATGCAGGGGACATAGGTTCGTGCCCCGGTCCGGGAAGATCCCACATACCGCGGAGTGGCTGGGCCCGTGAGCCATGGCCGCTGAGCCTGTGCTCCGCAACGGAAGAGGTCACAACAGTGAGAGGCCCGCGTACCGCGAA